GGAGCACTGGGTGTTATGCACAAACAATGAATCATGGAACACTGCATCAAAAACTAATGATGTAATGTATGGTGATTAACATAACATAATAAAATACTATTTAAAAAAGAAAAAATATTTAAATATTTCCTATTTAAATAAATTCTTTATTAAGAAGAAAAAGACTATCATTTACAATAGCACCAAAAACATAAAACATTTAGGTATAAATCTTATAAAATATGTGCAAGATTTGTATGCTAAAAACCATAAAACACTGATGTGAGAAAGTAAAGACAACCTAAGTAAATTGAGAGATACAACATGTTTATGGACCAGAAGACCCAATATTGTTATGGGAGGTCAAGCTACCCAGTGATCTACATACTCAGTACAGTCCCAATCAAAGTCCCATAAGCTTGTTTGTAGAAATCAACAAACTAATTCTCAAATTTATTTGGAAAAGTGAAGGAACTAGGACAGCCAAAACAATTTAGAAAAACAGTGAAAGACTCAGAGTACTTGATTTCAAAACTTATAGTTATCAAGACAGTGTGATACTGGTGAAGGGACAATCATAGAGATAAATGAAACAGGATTAGAAAACACTGGAACAGACCACAGTTTTGTAAAATCTCAACAAACATATAAATGCATTTTATATTTTTTTTAGAAATGCATTTTAATCAACAAAATAATAGTCTTTTCAGGTTGCCTGGCTGGATCTGTGAGTGGAGAGTGGAAATCTTGATCTCGGGGTTGTGCGTTAAAGCCCCACGCTGGGCACAGAGATTACTTAAATTAATTGATTAAAAAAAAAAAGATTCCTCAGGGCACCTGGGTGGCTCAGTCAGTTAAGTGTCCAACTCTTCGTTTTGGCTCAGGTCATGATTTCATGGGTGGTGAGACAGAGCCACGTGTCAGGCTCCACACTCAGCGGGGAGTCTGCTTGAAGATTCTCTCCCTCTGCCCCTTTCCCCACATGCTCTCACTCTCCCTCTCTCTAAAATAAATAAATTGTAAAAAAAAAAAAAAATTCCTCAAGTAACTCATGGCTGCCTTAATGTTGATAATTAATCAAAAACTAAATACAACCTTATCCTGACAAATAGCCAAAACTTCAAGATCCAGTACGCCCTACTTCCAGCAAACACAAAGAAATGCCTTAGAAACTTACGTGATCTCTACCTCTGTCCCTCTCTCCACAAACTTAAAAGTATATAATCAGTCACTCCTCACCAACCCCAGTGCAACTCTTTTAGCCTATGGTCCCATCCCAGTGCTATAATAAAAGCACCTTTTTGCACCATAAAATAATTAATTTTAAAAATAATAGCCTTTTCAAAAATCGGTGCTGGAAAAATTGAACACCCATATGTAAAAACAGAGAACTTGAATCCATACCTTGCCTCACATAAAAAAACTTACATGAAAATTAATAATAGATTTAAATGTAAAACCTAAAACACCAAGAACCTGTAGAAGAAAACAAGAGAAAATCTTTGTAACCTTGAGCTCGGTAAGAATTTCTTAGATATAAAACCAAAAGCACAATCCATAAAAGAAAAAAGTGAATAAGCTCTATCAAAATTAAAGACATCTGCACTTCAAAAGACATAGTTAGGAAATGAAAAGACGAACCAGTAGGCCAGGAGAAAATACTTGTAAAACATGTAACAGGTTTATAAAAAAAAAAACAACTGAATACAGAATATAAACTCAAAAATACTCAGTAACAAAACAACCCAATAAACATTGTCAAAATATTGGAAAAGATAGATCTTTTCATGTGCTTACTTCCCATTTATGTCTCTTCTCTGGTTAGATGTATTTTCAAATATTTTATTCACAGTGTCTTTGCTCATAGTTGCCAAAATCTGGAAATAACCCAAACATCTTTCAACTGATGAACAGATCTAAAGAGACCATGGTATCTCCACAGAGTAAAAACATAAATAGCAATAAAAGAAATTAACAGCTGATACACACAAAAACATGATGAATCTCGAATTATGCTGAGAAACAAGCTGGACTTTAAAATCTATACACATCATGATTGTTTATATATGCCATTCTGGAAATGTCAAAACTACAGGAAGAGAAATGAGATCTGCAGTTGCCAGGGCCTGGGGGTGAGGAGGGGATGATCACAAAGTGGCACAGGGAATATTCTGCAGTGATGAAACTGTCCTGTGTCTTGATTATGGCAGTGGTTACACGGTAATATATGCATATGTCACAACTCATAGAACTCAGTACTAGTAAGTGGATTTCACTCTATGTAAAATTTTAACTCAATAAGCCTGACCTTTAAAAAAGGAAA